CTGGGTGGATCGGGTATAGCCAGGGATTTTCTACAGGTTCTCCGTGAACTGATGCTGATCTTACTTCCTTCCTTTTTCTCTTTTTTTTGGCCTCTTTTTTCACTTTGAAGAATCCCACACTGCCTTCCGGGTTTTGCTGTGGGTTTTTATTTTGAGTACAGTATTTTTATGTGCACGGAACCCGGCTTGCGGCGCCGTGGGCGAGGAGGCGGCAATACACCGTATTTTTCGGAGTATAAGATGCACCTTTTTCCCTCAAAAAAGAGGCTGAAAATCTGGGTGCGTCTTATACACTGAATACAACATTTTTTTGCCTCCTGAAGCCCCGCCCCTTCACCAAAATGGCCGTGCATAGCTTTTAGAAGGCTCTCAGAGAGCTCCTGGGGGCTGGGGAGGGCAGAAATAAGCAAAAAGGGGCCCATTTTTGTGTGAAAGTGGGCCCATTTTTTGTCCAAAAAAATGCCCTTCATGGATAGCTTTTATGAAGCTTATAAAGTGCTGCTGGGGGCTAGGGAGCAAAACACAGGTCATTTTTCATTCATTTCTGCTCTCCCCAGTCCCCAAGAGCTCTCTGAAAGCCTCCTAAAAGTTATGCAGGGCCATTTTGGTGAAGGGGGGGGAGTTTCAGGAGGCAAAAAAATGTTGTATTCAGTGTATAAGACGCACCCAGATTTTCAGCCTCTTTTTTGAGGGAAAAAGGTGCATCTTATACTCCGAAAAATACGGTGTATTGCCGCCTCCTCGCCCACGGCGACGCAAGGCGGCTTCCGTGAACATAAAAACACTGTATTAAAAATAAAAACCCACAGCAAAACCCGGAAGGCAGTGTGGGATTCTTCAAAGTGAAAAAAGAGGCCAAAAAAAAGAGAAAAAGGAAGGAAGGAAGATAAGCATCAGTTCACGGAGAACCTGTAGAAAATCCCTGGCTATACCAGAACCACCCAGCTCAAGTCCCACGCCTCGGGAGACGTATGTCTTGAGCAGCCCACGCCAAGCTGGCCTGGCTTGGGGTGGGTGGGGGGGAGAGCAAGCTTTGTCTTCAGCTGGACCCACGCCATTCTTCTCTTGGCTGGTCTGAGACATTTTGCAAAGGACCCCAATTAAGGAGCTGCCACGGAAGCCAACGGTAAACCAAGGAAAGAACCACCGCAGGGCAAGCCACGGGAACTATGATGGCGAACACAGCTGCTCTTCTGCTTTTCAGCGGGCACCTGCGCGCTGGCCAGCTGGTCTTCATGGGGGCCAGAGCACCGAAAAGTGGCCTGAAAATGCCCCAAACCAAGCCGTTTTCTGGCCATTTTCCAGCACTCCGTGCCCACAAAGACCATTCCAAAAATGGCTTGAAAAGGGCCTTAAAAACAGCCCCAAAATGCCCCCCAAATGAAGCCAAAAAAGAGGCGTATGCATTCCGGGCAGCTGGTCTTCATTTTTCCGGTTGCTCCGGCGTGCACACCGGTTTGGGCACTCCGTGTCGAAAAGGTTCACCGTCACTGCACTAGAATAAGCACGGTGGGCAAACCCCACTCTCCTTACTAGCACTGATGATTGTATTGTATTTGTACTTAATAAATTTATAGGCTGCCCAATCCCGGAGGACGGCTTACCGAAAGTAAATTATAAAAAAGAAAGAATTAAAAAAAACAGAGAAGACAGATTAAAACCTCATCATGCACCCAATCTGGTCAGGGCTGGACCTCAGTCATGAGGTCAACAGCCCAAAGGCCTGCTGGGATAGCCAGGTTTTGATAGCCTTTTGGAAGGCCATGAGAGTGGTGAGGCTCCAGATCTCTGGGGGTAATTCATTCCCTAGGGTCGGAGCGGCTACAGAGAAGGCCCTCCTCTAATGTTGCCTAGTTGGGTGATGAAACCTCTGCAGGAAAACCACCAAGCTCAGAGAGCACCCAGGAATCAAACTCAAGCATTGCACCCTAACGAAAAAAAGAGGCTTCCCCAGGACTCCATCCAGAAAACCACCAGGAGGTAGGACAACACTCACCTTGAAAAAGAGGCAAAATTCTCCAAATTGACACGGGTCCCAAGCTGGCAAACTGTCCCAGGGAGCACTCCATGAAGAACAGAGGGAGGCCGGCGAGAGCCAGCATGATGGCGTAGGGGATCAGGAAGGCTCCTGCAAAGAGAAGGGCATCGGGTGAGAATTCAGCCTGCCACCTTTCCCAAGTCAGAGGCAAACCAGCACCTCCATCCAGGGCATCAGCCTGTGAAAGGAAAACACGGCTTCTAATTGTGATGGGCAGAGATTTCTAAAAAGCTAAACATTTTGGGAAACCAGCATTTGTCAATGTCTTGCAGCTGCCTACAGAGAAGTATTGTGGCCCACCAGTGGCCAGCAGAGCTGGCAGCCGATTCAGACAGTGAGGAGGGTTGGGGAGGAACCTGGGCCAGTCCTGGAGTCTGGGGAAGGCTCGGACGAGGACTCTGTGTCGGAGGCAAAGATGAGGCCAGGGCCGTATGCCACTTATCAGCTGCCTTCAGAGTCAGACATCAGTGAGGCAGAAGAACAGCTGGAGCCTGTTCCTAGTATGTGCATGCACAGAGTAGCCAGACAAAGGGAACAGCTAAAGAACAGGGATCGATTTGGGAGTAAGGCCACAGGTGGATGGTGAATGGCCCCTCCCAGAGGGAATAAAAGAGGAGCGAAAGGGGAGTGGAGTTTACAGGAGATAATTAGTTCGCTTAATTGGTTCGTGACTCTCTGAGACTCCTGGCTAAGTTCTGCAGATCTCGGCCTGGCAGCTCTCCAAGCCAGATAAGGTCTGTGACTGTAAATCCTCCCTTGACATATTTTGCTGGAT